TTCTTCTGCTAAACCTTTAAAGTTCGGTAAAATATTATTAATATTCATAGTAAATGGTGTAGAGACTAATGGAGGATAATTTAACGATGGTGATGAAAAAGTTGGTATTGTTATTGGTATCTGTGATGGTGATGGTGATGATCGGATAACATTTGGTGTTACAATGTTGATAGGTGTTCGTACCTGTGAGCTATGAATATGATTATCACTCACCAAATTTGGAATTGGTTTAAAAGCCGATGATTAACTATGATATGATGATGATTGATTATTATTCGATTGTGAACGTGCTATGGCAAGTTCTAATTTCAAACGACTGATTTCTTCTTGTCCTTGTAAATTTGCTGAAAATATAGCTGCTGAATTTTCGATCTGAATTGATCGAGTTGAAGCAGGTCTGGAATCGTTGTTGATGAGTGTGCGTGTAGATTTCGATCGCTCAACACGTCCAACACGATCGAAAACTATTTGAAATTTATCTTCAATTTTTTTGAGTATGATATCTTGAGAATCATTCGTTGTATTTCGAACAGCCTGGCCAGTTTTTGACGAATCAATAACGGCTAGTGTAACTGAATGGGAAGATGACCGAATTAATTCATCCATTTCTTCAAAAGAACAGTGTTTTCATTGATGATGGAGATAATAGTTGAGATGGTGAAGGAATCGATGCTGATTGAAGGTTCAGAGTAATCAATTGTGCAGAGTAATAGTTAACAGGCTAACGAGAGACAAAACTCACAACGCCAATCCGGGTGTGATCGCCACTTGTAACGCCTTGATGCAGATCAGAGACGCAACTAATAATAATGCCAGGTGCCACAGTATTGGTTATGGCCGGATGACAACAATGAAAATAAAATAGTATTGAATATTGGATGAAGATCCAATTGTTTATTCAATGAACAGAAGTAGTTGAGAATAAGAAGAACTCCACAAGCAAATAGATGACACGAGTTCGAACGATTGTAAGGAGCAATCAAGTTGAAAAGGAAAAGGTAATATGTAATTGATCAAAAAGATGATTCTTTTTGATAGAGACGAAAAGTAGTAGTCAGAAAAGAAAAAGAAGAATTAGTATATCTCAGTGAAGAGAGGGGGAAAATTACGTTTCGTCTCACCTCGTTTTTACGGACTCCCGTAGCAGCACTCCGTTACGATCTCCCGACAGCAGAAAAAACAACCCGAACATCTGAACCTGAAGTTCGGAATCGCAATTTTCATTGAAATAAGCAGGATGTTCGGGATGAAATAGGTTCGGAAGTAACACTTTTAATCATTTATCATTGATTAAACTTCGAACTTTCGTTAGGAGTCCGTGATAATCAATACAGGAAGGTCGCAATGAAACTGCGGGGTGATCGGAATGAAAATGACAGGATGTTCGTGAATAGGTCACGATATACACATCGCCGAGAGAATATGAAGTGTCATACCAGTCTGTAGGTCATTATTGTCCCTGAAAATTCCACATATGGGTTTGGTGTTCGTAACGATCTTCTAGTTCTCTCTTTTACGAACTACCTATCAACCTGAACGTATATCTTCAAACGACATTCAATGCTGTTCGTTACGATTTCCTCCGCTATATCAGACTAAACAAGGATTATCTTATTCCGAACATCCAATCTGTTCGTTTTGTTACCCTAATTGTTCTTTTACGATCTTCTGTACACAAATATTTACGAACATCCATACTCAATCCTTAAAAATAAAATTCATTTACGAACTCCTGCGAAAAGTCTTAAAAATAGAAATTCACTTCCGAACACCCGGTCATGTTGTCAGATGTTCGGAAAGAGTGAGACGAAACGTAATTCACCCGAAGAGAGGTATATATGAAGAAGCTTCTAAGAAACTTCAAGAGAAAAAGAGAGTAATTGTATATCTCATTTCTCTGAGTCTAAGCGCGAAAAAACGGAAAAGGTGCCAATGTTGGCAATAGCAAGCGCGACAATAAGCAATAAGAGAGAACAACACAGAGGAGAAATAAACATACATGATCTAAAAAACATCAAGACAAGACCAGTGACGTTGCTGTCGTCACACTCTCCGCTACCTCCCGCTCATCGTAAACTATGAATATACCATAACATGTAAGAAGATTAAATAACATATTTTTATAAATCATATAATATAAACAGAAAAACAAACTACGAGCGAAACAGTTTTAAATAAAAGTAGCCAATGTCTTGTTGCTTTAGAGTTGGCAATCTTATCTATAGCTTCATATTCATGATGACAATTCCAGATAGTTCGTATCCAACGGTTGATAAATCAAGAGCATATGGTCGTGCATGAGATTTTATATCATTAATTTTTTGATTTACGATGTGTCTGTACTCAACATCCTTTCGTCTACATTGTTGTTGGCGAGCAAGAGGCACCAGAAATAGCCAAATAACCATGCATATATGCATCAAAATGTAAAAAATAAAAGAAACAATGAATACAACTCTATCTATCCACGCATCTGCGTCAATTGGATCCAGTTTTATAATCGTACCATTGATATAGATAACAGCACCGATGATTGCATGCCATATGCAAAGGCCAACAAGTATAAAAATTGAAATTATTGCGTACTTATCCAAAGATGTTAAATAGGATATGGTTGGCTAAAAATAAAAAGAACATATGTTCTAAACTATTATGAAAGATAAAATATTAGCATTTAATATAATGTGAATTTTGCATTGAGAAAAACGTCACAGCAAATACATTTAAACTACTTAAAAGATATTCTTATGAGCTAAAATTTGCTTAGCTTGTGACGGACAATATCTACTAACTAGAGATCGATTCACAGTCCAACGAAATGTGATTGACGTTAGAAGTAGAGTAGCTCCAGTTTGCAGACGATTTGCAGGTAGACTAAAGGATACAAAAAAAATCAATAAAAAGCGCATAGAAAAGCACAAAAACATCATATCATTATGAATTCATACTTGGGTGGCATAGAAAAAACGGTGAAGCCACAAAGAGTAATAAGAAAAATCAGACAGTAACCATTCCAGTAGAAATAACCGGAACGACGTTCTAGAAAATATACTAATTTAACGTACTAATCATTTATAATTAATAGTGCTCTGACCTGCATGACATGACACAGAAACAAATGAACGTTTGCGTCCCTCGTTCAAGCTTGATTGAACATTTTCGTCGTCACCATTACTGTTGAAATATTCCTTAACAAAACGTTGTCTTGTATCGACATGTTCATACAATAACCATTGTTCTTGATCAACGGACGGTTCGCGATTTACTCCACTGTGATAAAATGGATCCGGAATCAGTATTACTCTATCATTATACAACATTGAACCAATCGAAATCGTTAGTTCCTGGATATCTGATGGAAAATGATTCAATTCGAGTTTTTCCCAAAAGGCTCCTTTGATGTCCCGATGTTCACATATGCAAGCTTGATCTTCCGATATTTTCTTCGCAGTATATCTTATTTGTTCTTTCAGATCTCCAACAGCATTTTCAATAAACAATTGAGGATGCCAATGGTTGTCAGCAAATTTAATAAGCGACACCGATTTTCCCTGATTCAAACTGGTTCGATCATTCGGTGGTAGGATCTCAAACAATTCATCGAATGGAATTATCCAACGAGCTTCAATCGATGCTTGTGCTTGATATTTTTCATTTAATGTGTCGATTTCGCCTGTTAGAAAAGAGAAATAGACAGTCACTTTCAGGTATTGGACTTTGAAGAAATTTATGAAATTGAACTAATATCCTGTAATACTTACATAAATTATATTTACCACTCATTGAAAAGCAAATAACGATGTAAGACTACATGTTTAGGATCTATCTTCTGATAATTATGCTATTGAATGAATACGAATCAATAGCATGGTTACGCCCAAATACGAACAATCATTTTCTTTTCGATCAGAATTGAAACATGTAATGTTTTGTCTTATAGAAATCACAATGAACTAAGGAATATATCGGTATAAGATAATATTCATTTGTCTGCTTATTCTATGGGAGAATAAATCATTCTCTGAATCAGGTTTGCATATTACTGCATATAAAATAGCCCAGGTCAATGATTCCGGAGGATGGATACCGTAGAAATCGACCGGAAAGATGCGGAAAAATCACAGTATCTGAGCGGAAAGCATGGCAAAGCGTTGGAAAATGAAAGCAGTATTCCGGTAATTTCCAACCAGAATACTGCTTCCACTTTCCCGTGCTATCCGGTCGTTTCCCGCCGTAACTCCACGACCTGGGAGTGCTACCCATGTCGTATAAAATGGCCCGTAAGCCGCGAAAAACGGTGGCCCTGTAGGTGACGGTTTCCGCGTTGTCGGAAACGACTACCTTCTAAGGCGAACGTTTTTTACCGTTTTACATCTCTTTTATTTGGAGATATAAATATGGGTAAAATAGATACTTAGACACTGTCGTTCAATTTATTTTATTCATTCTCTTCTATTTCTTTTTCTTTTCTTTTATTGTATTTTTATCGTATTTTATTTTATTTTAATTTTTCGATTATTTTATTGTTTCTTATTTTTTCCCGATGTTTTCTTGTTTCATTTCATGTTATTTTGTGTGTAGACTTTTCTTTTGAAAATTAATACGTAATAATATTATTTAAATTAAATGTTTAAAAAGTATAAATGACCAGCGTAACTCTCACGTAAAATGGTGAAAAACGGCGAGATTCCGTCAGAATGCACGAAAATGGGATGCTTTCATTACTTGCCAGTTTTCATCGGAAACGGCCTTGAACAACCTCGTTAACGGTTCGAGGAAAAACGGCCCGTATAATCCGAGCTGACGGAAAACTGCTAGAAGCGGCGGTCGTTTTTTTTAATCGTTTAGGGCATTATTTGCGCCGTTTCTTAACAGTCTCAGGCAGTTTAATGCCATCTTTCAGATGGTCTGAATGATGGATCCGAGTATGTCAATTTTTAAACTAATTTTTACTTTTTTTATCATCAGATTTTCATTTGTGTCTTACCCAGATAAATATTTTAGAATAAATACGCGTCTTAATCGCGTTTAGTTTACGTCTAAATCGCAGTAATCGAACGCGTATAGACGCAGTTCAGATGAAACATTTCCTGCGTATTCACGCGATTTAGTATTAATTCTCGTCCAGACGCGATTGCTAACAAGATCGAGTCCGAATGCGATTCAAACTAAAGTCGCGTCTAGACGGGGGCGAATCTGTATTTGAAATTTCAAAAATGTATTACAATCCGTCTCACATTTGATCTGAGCCGTCATCAATGCTGCCTAGAGATGGTCTTCGCCTAATTTTAGGTCAACGGAAAGTTTAAATTTTGATATTTCTAGAATGATGAAAATGAGATTAGAACAAGTGCAGTAACGATTAGAAAGCAAGCGTACATAGCATGGAGTCACATGTGGTCAGACTATTTATCGAAGGAAACAGAAACTATATGTGGATCGTCTGCTAGAAGCTTATTTTAAAATACATGTATCAACAAAATTCTGTCCACCTATGTAATAAATCAATTATTATTGTATATACACATATATTCACTTATTAGAAAAAAATTGTGCATTCAATAAAGTAAAGTAAATAATTTAAAAAAGTTACAATGATGCAAACTATTCCTATTGAGAAAATTATTGTTTATATTATTTTTTAATTTTATTCCTTTCGGTTTTTGAATATCGATATTTCAGAATTTATATGACTATTTTATTCTATTCAAAAATATTCTTTTATTTTGTCTTTTTTAAGAAAACAACCTTGAAAATTGTTTCAGATTCTACAATCTCCAGATTAAATTAATTTTATAGAAAAGGTTGATAGATATTTTCTGGTGAATATCTCATTAATCGTAATATTATTATTTGTTGTGTTAACATAATTCTGAATCGAGTTTCGTTTTTATATTAATCGTAACTATCGAATGCGTCTTGTGGCGGTTCATGTGAAACATTTCTTCACGTTCAAACTCGATTTCAAAGAAAACTGCGTCTAGGCGTAAAAAATGTTTCACTGGAGATGCGTTTGATGTTTACATGGGATTTACATCAAAATATGACTAGTTTTCAAGAGTTTCGACTCGAGAAGAAAATTTTAAAGTTTCAGACCGAATTAATTTTGGCCATTGAAAAACCTAAAATATTTGCCAAGAGAATCCGTATTGAATTGGGATGTTGAAGCCTGTTACGAGTCTGCCCTCACAAATCCTAATATCATTTCTGTTTCATCGATGTGGCGTCATTCTTTACGTATTCATATATATCTCTTTCTTCGGTGCAATATCTTTCGATCACATTATCTTCATTTTCTTGTATTCGTTTTCTCTTTGGTTTACCCTGGATGTGCGAAACTGACACATATACGAGTGTTTCTTTCTGTTCTTGTTGGTCAGACGTAGTGCGGTCGTTGTGTGTATATGTATCCATACGTGTTAAGCAGTGATTTAATAAAGAGACGGGGAGAACAATATCTTTCCCTAATACTCTCTTTTTTGCTATTTTCAATTTTTTGATACTAGCTAGACTTTCAAGTTATACTCATGTTAAGACTGTCAAAATATCGAATTTATGATTGTAAATTGTTTTTTAATTGCATGAGATAATAGAAGAATGAAAGCTAATTCAACGAATAATTTTTAACTACTCAAAAACATATGAGATAAACTTTTTATTTTCTCAAGACTAAGCCAACAATATAAGTTTCTATTCTTGTTTAGCTTCACCCATGAGTCTTTCTTTTTTTTGTTGTTCTTTGAGAAACTGTAAGAGTTTTGCTTTCTATTGTTCTTTCGTTCTATTTTCTTTTGCAAATATTTTCAACAGACACTTTATTACAATTCATGAAGAAAATCATCAAATTAAAACGAAATTCGCATTGTTATGGCATAAATGATATGCCGCAAAACATGTTGTGTTGTGTCTTTGGTATTATATTTTCTGTCGTTGTGTTACATGTTCTTTAGTTTATTCTTTGTCTTTTCTCGTCTATACTTTCGTTCTTTTGTTTTGGTCGAATAACTCTTGTTCGTTTTTTCTCTCTTCTCTCTATTTCCTTTTCTCCTCTGAAAAAGCTAAAAGGGATGTGAATAGATTATGTCTTTATAATCTTTGGTTTCTTCTCTTTTGCGGAGTTTAGTGAGAAACAGCGAGAGAAATAAGTAAAGTGAAAAAGAGAGAGAGTGTGTGTGATTTTCGAAGATTGGAAAAAAAACAAGAAGTTAGGGAAAATTGTACCAACACATATCAACGTGATATTAGGACCTAACACTCATATTAGTTTAATATAGACTCATATCATTTGCCTATATATTCTAGTACCTATGGTGGACTAAAAATCTTGCGTAGTCGTACTGATTATTTGTAATATATAAATCAATTTTAGTTGTAAACTCACCGATACGTTGAAACATTAGACGAATCCCAACAGGTACTAATGCCTTTAGATGATGTTCATTTGCATCGCTAGATTGTAATATAGACATTGCTTACTTTCGCAAAGAAGCTACTCGTAATATTAATAATCTAAAAGTATTCTTTTATATAGAAATCTCTGGTATATGTAAGACAAATGAGTTTCAATAATCGCTTTGCTTCTGTCCTGCTGAAATCGAGTCGCAAAATATTCATTCGTAAGAGTTATTAGATTTGGACAAATACGACAATAGAGAAGACCCACTTAAATCCAGACCTTATGCAGAATGTAAGAAAAAAATCAACCCTAACTGAAAATGTTCTCACTGCTAAATGTTCATATATTTACATTGGAAACTGTCATGACTGCTACATAGTGAAATTTGAAAAATATTTTCGTCATAAACATATTACGAATCATACGTTACTTTTGTGGTTCTCTCTCCATGCTAGTGAAGCAATCATTTATCGATCGAATATTGACAAAGAGCATTCGATATATAAGACAGAAAAATGGATTTATTGTAAGGTGCTTCAGACCAGAAAAACAGAAGAATAGGATAAAAGAAAAACGAGTCCTCAATTGCAACAGAACGAAGTAAGCAGCATGAGAGTCTCAGATTGACTGTTGCCTACTCTCTAGAGAAGACATTGCAAGCAAGCCGCGACCACCATTGCTCAATCGATCTTACGGATTTGGCTGATATTTTTACAATAGATGCTTATACCCGAGCTAGGAATAGCCGTGAAGTTTCAGCTAAAACCGATCAACTGTTCTCGAGATGTACCGCTTGAAACTATTCGTACTCAATAAAAATTAGACGTTTTTGTATTCAGAATCTTTTTAGTATATTCTCATTTTCTGCCAAGTTATAATAGGCATCACTGAGATTTTTTCACCAAAGATACTATCGACTACGGACTATCTTTTCATAGCAATAAAAGTACTTCATCCTGAGATAAATTTTAATTGGCATTATATATGATTTTCAGAAAGCGTGCCTACGTATTTTGAGCAAGTTAGTCAAATCAGTGAGAAATAATTCATTGAGACTGTTCTTATTTGAAAGAGCATATCAAAATGTATCTGATGATATTCTCAAAAATTTGGTAACTTAAATTTTAGCCTAGAAAAAGTTAACATTTTCATCAAAAGAATGCACTTGTTAAAAAAATCCCCTACACAATATTTATTGTTTCATTATTATCAACTAGTCTTTTACTGGAAACTAAATCGATGTTTCGATACTGCTTAAAATTCTCTACAAATTCATATATAAACATTTTGCATATATCTTTTCGCTAAAACAAAGTCTAGAACAACGAAGATTCCTTGCTTCTCAATTTCATCTGAATAGAAAACATAATTTATTTCAAAAGTAAATGTAGAGTCTAATAGAGCATGAAATTTTCTATCACCGTGCACACTAGAAACTGAATAGTGATATATATATATATATATATGAGAAAGGTAGAATTTAATATTTGTAAAACTATTTAAAAAAGCAATACATAAGGAAACATCTTTATCAATGATTCACTTTTTGAAAATTTGCGATATTGCTGCTGCTCCTAGAGCCTGTCATCTTCTTTTGCTTGACCTAATCATATGAGGAATCCATTAGTATTGCTCCTTTCACGACTTTTCTCAATTTCTATTGCACAAGGGTCGACGGCAGTTTTTGCAGTCCTATTACTGAATACATTTCCATGCGATGAATTGTACAAAGTCGGTCACTGTATGAAAATTATTCATGATGCTGAATCTAATTAAATTGTGCAACGCAATTTTATGATGATGATTTTTATTTTTTTCCTTCTTATAACCATGTTGGAAGACTCATTGTGATCTATATGAGTAACTCGCTAGTTTGATTTCGAAGATAAATGCAAAAAAACCCACTTTCATGTTTTCACACCACCGTCAGAAAAAGATTTGTGTGTGTGTGTGTGTGTGTGTGTGTGTGTTGACGCGTATGTCCGCATTTCCTCACATCGACACACACCATTAAGCACGATAAAGAAATGCACTAGCATCATGCAGCTAACATATGAAAAAAGATACATTTTCACATTAACAGGATACCGTAACTGAGCAAATGTATCCCGATAATAAAGTGCAAGAAATAAAAACAGTACACTATATTCTATGTATTAGACTGAACAATGGTAATACTAGATTTTCCTTACAAAAGCCCTTGTAAGAGTAATTTATGTAGATCGCATTTCAACAGATATGAGTTCATAAAGATTCAAAATGGTTTCTTTGAGAAACGATAGATAATTTGTTTTCTAATATTAAAAATCGATGCATCGGTTCTATTTTGAAAAAAAGATGAAAAACATAAATAACCAAAACGTACAATTAGTGTTATCATCAAATAGTATCAATGAATACTCGTATTGTATTCACTCAACGTCGTTGAAATACTGATTCTAATCGAACATATGAAAGTGAAAAAATAATAATAAAGAGCTCAGATCTTTATTTCTGACACGATGTTTTAACTTACTATAATGCGACAGGTTCCTGCAAATATCAATGTAAAGTAAGTCTGGATCTCGACCACAGCCCAATTACATTGGTACTTTTAACGTTTTTAGCCTTTGCGATACAGCAAAGAATAGAAACTGATATTGGGAAAGTGAGAAAATGATCTGAACCATTCTACAGTGAAGCTTCTCACCCTTTAGATTACTGCGTATACAGCAATACCTGCTCGTGTCGTATTGAAAACATTGTGACTTTGGAAGTACTTGCTATTAATGATGCAAATATTTATACTTGATTTTCTTTTCTTTCAATAGACAAGCACAGCGTCACAGCCCAGTGCGCATGTTATATTAATAATACTGGAGAAAGAAAATAGATACATAATATTTTGTTCAGGTATTGAATCCTTTTTTTAAACGGTATATTAATATTGACGAATAACTCACCGTTTCAGGTAGCTAATGAATTCTGTACACGTTATGATAGGCAAGACACGTCATGCATATCTATTTTTTGCAAATAGCACTATATTAAGCAAAATTAAGAGAAAAAAAACATGAATAATAGCTAATAGATGTAAGCATTTTGAATTTGCTTGATTTTAATATAGAAAATGATAGAAAAAGAAAAAGAAAAAGAGAACGATAAACAAATATTCCAGTCATAGTGTCGAATACATTCTAATTTGGACAAAAAATAGGTTTCATTGTGCTGATTTATTGCCTAGGGTATTTCCATGGGGTCTCTACCGCAAAATACACAAGTATCTTCAAATCGCCTGAAACTTTCAGAGCTTGTAATCGACGCTGCTATAAGACTTTGTCTTGTCAGCTTTTTTAAATCAACCGAAAAGTACCTGAGCATAGGTGGCGACAAACTTTTGAAGATTTTCAAAAAATTAAGAAAATTAGAATTTTTTTAAAAATTAATTTGTCTGTTGACATAAAAATACGTTCTAGAGATACGTACATGTTGTATATAATTTTGATGCTCATGGTCTTAACTACGTTTTGATTTACGCATGGTTCATTTTGCTCAATCTTTTTACCATGCGCTGAGTCACTCATTGATCACATCCCCGCAAATTTTAGTATGCGCTCTTGAAAAGAAAAAACTTGGCGAAAACAGGCTACCACGAGAAACCAGATATAGGGTTTGGTAGAGAAAATTATTCTCTACAACCTAGACTAGATTAGAGCATTCGCCTTTTTGATTTGATCAAATGCTAGGTGATAAAAGATAAAGGTAGGGGTTTCGTTTTCAGCTGAAATCGGTCCCCCAAAAATATGCGATCCCATCTATCTGAAACTGTTATAGACACTGTCGGAGCATCGTTTCTAGTGCATTTATTCCTCCAACCCTTGTTTTTACAGTGCCTGCATCGGTAGAGTCAGTCCACGAATGTTGCATGTAATTGAGTCCAACCTTCAATGATAAGCATATTTTTTATAACACATAGGTGTAGCTCAACAAGCCAAAATTGACATAGTTGGGTAGAACTTTTCAAGAGCTACAAATCTGTATATGAGGATACCAGAGATATATTGATCGATGCGCAGTCATAAAGGTCGTATCTCTATTGTGAGTGCACATAATACATTCTTGTTGAAGTTACCCGTCTAAAAGAAAAACCCATGCCAATGGTCTGCCACTTTAATTTTTGATATGGTTTGATAGTACTTTTCAAGCGCTACAAACGATATAAAAACATTGAAACAAAAACAATGGACACCCAAAATTGCTCTACAATTATCAACCTGTGGATGTTTTTTAGTACTATTTTCATTGGTATATTTCAGATTCTGTTCGAAAAATCCGCCAAATCAGTGAAACAAATACGACATTGAAGACCAGCGTTCAAAACTGTGTAGATGTGTAAGACTTTCACAGATTTGCATTAACTTTTATTTTTTTCCGAAATTTTCCGTGGTCCCCCTCAGGGATAAGTAAAAAATTTGAATTCCTCAAAGCACAAGTTTCATCCTTTGTTTTCTACTATTTTTTATCCTCATACAATTTTACACGCGAAAAATTATATTCTATCACTTTAAAGAAGTGCTTGATCAAGCTGATTTTTTTCTCATCCCTGAGGGGGGCCACAGATAATATTGGAAACACATAAAAGTTGATGAAAGTGTTTGAAGGTCTTATGTATCTACAGTTTTGAACGCTGATCTTCAATGTCGTATTAGTTTCACCGACTTGGCGGGTTTTTCGAACAGAATCTGAAAAATACCAACGAAAATAGTACTAAATAAATGTGAAAACCTCGGATTTCATCCGAGAGTTATGTGTACTACAAAAAGTGCATGGGACATATGAGTCATTCTAGAATGCCTGAACACCAAAATTATCATGAGAAACTAGGCATTTTGATTTCTGGATGCAGTTTTTGTACATTTTGAGGCGTTTTTCAGGCGATGTTTCGTTAGAAAGCTACGATTTAGTTCAAAACTAATATCAGATTCTGAATCAGCGTTAGAAACTGAGTCGCTTTATATATGTTGTGAATAATTCCGAGAAAGATTTGTTTTTTGAAAAAAATCCCTGTACCCCCCCCCCCCGCTCCAGGGATGGTCTGGTCAAAAATGACAATTCTTTCGATAACTCAACCATTTCTTGAGGGATCCTTCTCATCTTCGCACTCGACCTAGACATTGATAAGACAATTCTGTGCACAAAATTTCAGCTCAATCGAATGTAATTGTGAAGAGTTATCGAATAAACGGTCGACCGAACACATTGACCGATTCTATAGTGTACTCTTTTTTTTGAGTACACAAAAACATTATGAAACTTGTTCTGTTAAAGAAAAGAAAACCCTCAATTGAGCTAGTATTTATCTAAGTAATCCATGATATGTGAGTTCCACATTTTAGCCCCAATGGGGTTGTGTTGAAAATCTTTTTTTCTGCATTGATTTCTTTGTAAAACTCAATTAATCGACAAATCAACATTGCTGAATTCAGATATGGAAATTTTAACGAGAAAATATTTAAGAAAACATTCATATGAAAGCGGTTGCATAAAATAAAGCGATAAAGTTGACACTAATAATAAAGTACTTCAGCAGATGGTAATTATATTTGAAAAAAATCTTCAAAACCTGAATATTCAACTTCTGATCCCAGTTCAAAATATTCCTTAGATAAAATACAGGAAAGCTTTATAACAAACTCATAATTCAGCTTTTAAACAAAATTATAAGAAAAACTTCCGTTTCGATTAGAAATATATATATTCCTGTATTGATACAAAATTCTGTAGAGAATACAGAATTCTTACAAAATTCTGCTGGTAAATGATCAATTCTGCTTAGAATTCTGTTGTCGATCTAAGATAGTGCGTGTGTGTGTATATATACAATAATACAGGAAAGAAAGAATATAACATAGTTTATAAATGAACAGAATTCTCGAATTTTGCTTGGTGAGAATTCTGCCACTGCTGAGATCCATTGGCCATCGTTCGAATGCATTGATAACAGAATTTATTTCTAAAAACGCCAAGGAAACTATCTTGTGTATGTTATGTGCAAAGACTGGATCTGTCTGATATTGACTTTGATGTCCCATTTCCTAAATAGATAAGAACATAAGATTAAGACACTAGATCATTGAGCCATTTTAAGTTTCTTATCGCCTGAATTTTTCTATGAAGACTTTTTCTTAAATGGAAATAACATCCCGATACTGAAACATTAGGAAATGCTGCTTGAAAAGCACCAATGGAAGCCTGCTCAAAGTTTATCATAATAGAACGTGGAGACCACCGAGGAGCAATCTTGAGTATTTCATTGATAAGACGTTGATATGTTTCCGTATTTTTTTGACGTAATAAAGCGTAAATTAATGGTACTACATGATCACGAAAGACACCATGAATGATATGTAGCTGATAAAATATCTCAGGAACGATTTTAAATGTTCCATCGACGAGAAATTCTTCCGTATCTTGCAAATTATCGGCTTGTTCGTCACTAGCGAACATTAAGATTCTGTCTTCCCCTTGATTGCAAAACAATATACTTATGAATAAATGAACTAGTATGAAGTACCACTCGACATACCTGGTCCTGTATCACAGCGAAGAAATTGATCGTTTCGTATGGTTTTCGTTAATGAGAGAGGAACCGAAGAGAAGTTTGGATCGTTCGGTTCTTTCACCACTCGATTATTCTGCCGCAACATTCTTATTCGACGCTTAATATTATCACGCACTGGTAAACGAGCAATCGATGGATCGAACATACCTATGTCGATGAAAAATAAAAAAATTCATTAGAAAAAAAGTTTGTTCATTTGTACCTTTATAGCAGTTTGTGACGATGATGTCAGGTGTTTCTTGAGTATTGACAGCACGATGTGCAACATGTTCATTGAACATTCTAAGTTGGAGTGTTGTACCATCAACTTTGCAAATATGCTCACTCGGTGGTTTTACAATAGTATTAGTTAAAATACAGGTATGAAGGCGAGAGCGACAGCAATCTGAAGAATACTTTATACACCGCCAATAGGTTTTATCATTTGTCGATCGATCCATGATGTAAGAATATCCATCACAATCGAGACGTGGCTTGTTTTTCGTTGTACCATTAATCAAAAATGTTGCCATATGGGAACAATGATTGAATAACGAAACAAGACTGTTTCGTACCATAATTATAGTAGGAAAAATGAATTGACTTATCTTTACTGTGTAATCGTTTCACGTAATCCAATTTGATTCGCTTATTTCACTAATAATCACACACAAGTATATTTGTTTTGTTTAACTCAATATTCGTGCCGATTGATCCATATTCTCAGCTTTCCAGTGCTTAACTATCCTTGTGCTGGTCAATCCATGTGCTGAAATTTCACGTGCTGATTATTCCCGTGCTCAGCTTGCCAGTTCCCACGACCGACTACATCTAAGGGTAGATAAGTACCCAGCATTAAATCAACACCACATGCCCATTCAGCTAATGTTGCTATTTTGTTTAAATATTCTTGAAATTCATATCTAATGGTCATTTGTAATGATTGTTTTTCATGGCGATCATATAAACATTGTATATCTTTTTCGATGATTGCAATATTTGTATTAAATAATTGAAACGGTTGAAATTTGCTAAGTTCTTGTAATGCTGAACCCCATGAATAAATATAATTTTGCGATGTAAATATGATGCTACATAATTGTTGTATTTTTTTAAATAATGGACTCGTGCTTGATGGTAAGTATTGAACTTCGATAATGATAATTATTTATGATAAATTTTGCTTAATGTATTCAACTTGTAATGTTGCTGGTTTATGTGTTAATGTATCATCTTCAGTGTCTATGGAATAATGTTTGGTTATTTTGGCTTGATCAATTAATTCATCGATTAGTAATATATCGGTTCGCTCATGTATGTAATAACATCGATAATTTTGTGGTGGTTGAAATGGTGTTAATGTACCTTGCCGATATTCTTCCTGTAATTCAGCTTCAAGCTTCACCTTCTTTGACTTCCATGCCTGATTTCTTCGTAACAAGCGTTCATATGGTGGTACATAACGATGTTGGGCTTGTGTTAAATATAAACTTTTCCGAGAAAAGTTCATCTCTATGCGCTAGTTATTAAGAAAACAAACGAAAAACACAAAAAAAATGAACTCTCTCTGTATATATATATATATTATGATTCGCGAGTAAATAGTTGCAGAATAATGCAGATAGGATATATCTGAAATAAAAACCATTACATGGAGGACTCGCGTCAATGGTCCACTTATAACTATTAGTTCCCCCATGCATCTGTATAAGATTCATTTGTTGTAATTTTTCTATAGAAAACATCATTATGAAATATTTGTGTTTGACCTTTTACGAATTCTTTTTGCACAGCAACTATTAGACGGTTGCAATAAACTTATATACGTATATGTATATATACGTGTATATACTAACGAGACGGAGAAAAGAAGGAAAACAATGGAGATCACAACAGAACTGAAAAATAAAATGCTCGCGTAACATATATAAGATAAAAC